GGTCAGGTGGTGTGCTGGCTAAGGTGCTAGACTCCCACAGAGATGACCGCGGTTCGAATCCCGCCGGCCCTGGCGGCTTGCCTTTCTCACTTTCCCTTTCTCTTTTGGTCTCATCCAATTAAAAAATAAATAATAATAACAAATAAAATTAAATAAATTAATTTCTTTTTTAAAAAATAGAAGAAAATGTGGGATGGATGGCCCCGTGGCCTAGTGGTTAAGGGAGCTATATCGTGCATAGCTGACAGCACAGTTTGAGTTCCCAGACCCAGTGGCTTCAAAAATATGCCATGCCGTGGCCTGTAGGTGGCATGGTGGTTAAGGGTGCTGAATTCCCACATGGCTGGCTGCGGTTCCAGTCCCAGACCTGGCGGCTTGCTTTTTCTCCTTCTCTTTCTCCCTCTTCTCTGTCTCTCTCTGGTTAAATTAAAAAAATAATGACAAATGAAATTAACTAAATAAATAATTCTTTAAAAAAAATATATGCCATGCCTATGTGCATGGGCACCCAAAACCCTGACAAGGTGGGAAAATGAAGAAGACGCTGTGGTATAACCACACCTCGCTGGAGGGTGCTTCTCTCTCTCCGCGCTCTCTGTCTCTCTCTGGCTAACCCGCCCTCTGGCAAACTTGATGGGAAAAAAAATAACGAGTGGTATATATGAGGGAATTTCAAAACTGGAATTAATGAACAAGTTAAATGAACAAGCAAAAATTAATGAACAAGCAAAAAAAAGGAAATCTATGCAGCTTTTCCTAGTACACACATTTTCCATGAACTTTTTGAGGACACCCCCCCCCCCCAATCTACACAATGGAATGCTATTCAGCCATGGTAAGAGATCAAATCCTGTCTTTGAGGCGATGTGGACAAGCTTAGAAGGAACGGTACTTGGTGAAATACGCGAGACACAGAGAGGCAAATACTGCATCCCGCTCGTTCGTGGAAGCTGGAAGACTCGACTGCACAGAAACAGAGAAGACGGAAGATGGGGAGGAAGGGAGGGAGCAGAGGGAGAACTTAGTGAACAGTTTACAAACTACAGTTGGGTAAGAGGAATGAGTTCTGGAAGACTAAGAGTAGAGGAACTACACTTAGTAACGATTTAACGCATGTTTCAAAATAGGTACAAGAAAACTTACAGGACTAGTGGGTACAGCACTGGACTCCCATGTGGCCAACGGCAGTTCAAGCCCTAGACCCAGCAGCTTGGAACTCACACTAGGAGTAGGTGCGCATGTGCCCAAAAACCCCAAGAGGAGACTAGAAGAGAAGCGACTACAGCGTGGCCATCCCCCTGGGGGTGGGGGTAACTTCTCGCTTTCTGTCTCTGTTTGTCTCTCCAGTAAGCACACATAAAAATCTCTCAAGAAAAAAGAAAGAAAGAAAGAAAGAAAGAAAGGAAGAAAGAAAGAAACTGTTCAATATTCACAACACAAAGAAAGCCTAAGATGACAGGTATTTTTATTGCTCTGATTAGATTGTATGCATGTACTGAAAAACAATCACACAGCATCCCATAAACATATGCGCAACTATTATAGGTTAATTTACAATTGTTTTAAAGTCAAGGCCCAGTACTTAAGGGAGCTGGATTCCACGTGGATGATCATAGTTTGAATCCTAACCCCAGGCGTATGCGTGCGTGCCCCATTATGACAGCGTGGACAGATGGAAGGGGAAGGACCGCCAGGTAAACACACCCTACGGAGGGGTGCTTTTCCTCTTCCTTTCCCTCTCCCTGTCTCTGTCTCTGTCTCTGGTACGTGCATGTGCCCTCTGGCAAATAAAATAAAACTGAAAAAAAAAAAACCCAGGTAGACAAAAGAGGAAAGGGCTTCCGTGTGCTGAACGGAAAAGAGACTCCGGGCACGTGTGAGTTCTGTGGTGCTGGCGCCGCTTCTGCCAGATTTCCTGGTGTCTTCCGGACTCGATCCCCAAGCTCCCCAACCTCAGAGGAAGATCTCTTCCTCTTGGACACATGGCTCCGAGATACTGGGGTGCAGGCCTAACCTGCAGGAAGCCTCCCTGCCAAGATGATCACTCACAGACACAAACAGGGAAGAGGCCTCTGAGAAGCCCTGAATGAGAGCTCGCGATCCCAAGGGGCTTGGCAGACATGACCCAAAACTCAAGGCAAGGGACCTTAGTCCAGCCCGGCTAAGGGACAGCGAAATGCACCAGGTGTGGAGGGCTTCTTGGAGCAGCACCCCAGGAAGACCAACGTGTGACAGACAGACGGTTCGTGTCACACAGACAACGCAACCCAGAATCACGGATATTGAGAGAAGAACAAGAGAGAAAGAAGATAACCAGGGAAAATAAAGAAAAGAGAGACAGAGGGAGGGAAAGGGACCCAGAAGTAGGACTGGCTCGTCCTTGCAGGCCAGGCCCTCGGGGGGCCGGCCCAGCTCTCACCTCTTGATGTTGCCGTGGATGATCTCCAGGCTGTGCAGGTGCTCCACGGCACGGAGCAGCGCCAAGCAGATGCTGATGCGCTGGGGCCAGGAGAGCGGGTCCGCGCTGTCCTGGAGAGAGAAAGGAAGGCTGTGACAGTCACGTGTGTGCTTTTTCTTCTTTCTTTTTTTTTTATTTTTGAGAGATTTTTGCTATAGGGCATGTGTACTTGCCAGAGAGACAGAAAGCGAGAAATCACCCCCCCAGGGCGGATGGCCACACCACAATCCCTCCTCCTCCATTCTCCTCTCGGGATTTTGGGCACGCACGCACAAATGCCCGCCATGAGTTTCAAGCCTCTGGTTACGGGCTTCAAACATCGGTCGGCCACATGAGAGTCTAGCGACGTAACCATCACGCCATCTGCCGGTCCCCATGTGATATAATTTTTACTTTTAACTTTTATTTATTTATAATTCGACCAGATAGATACAGAGTGAGAGAGAGGGAGAATGCAAGCCACCAGGTCTGGGACTTGAACCATGGTTGGCCATATGGGGGTCCAGCAGCCCTAACCACCATGCTCCCTGCAGGCTCTGTGATACAATATTTTTAAGGTACAAAAGAGCATACAGAAAGTTTCCCCCATCCTATGCCCCAGCTACCTAATTCTCACAAGAGGTTGCTGAAGTACACAAGTTTCTTGTGTATCTTTCCAGAAAAATACATGAGGAAATAATTAATAAGGCATCTGCAAAAGGTTCTTGGGAAATGGATATTATTTTAAACAATAAGCATGGGAGCCAGCAGATGGCGTGGTGGTTAAGGCGCTGAACTCTCACATGTCAAACCAGTTTGGGTCCTGAAACTGGTGGCTTGCTTGCTCTCGCTCTCTCTCTCTCTCTCTCTTGTCTTTTTCTGATGAATGTACCTGCCCGGTAATAAATTAAGCAATAGTAATAATGATAAATAAGATTAAATAATATTTTCAACAAGAAACTATACATGGATTTCAAAGGGTTTTTTTGTATCAAATAAACTTGTACTTTTAATTTTATTTCCTGCAAACTTTTTGAAACACCCTCATATACTGGACTAAAAATTTACAATAAAAATCTGCTTTCCTCTCTCTGTATTCTCTAATAATTTTTTTAATTTTTGGAGAGGTTTTTGTTATAGGGCACGTGTGCTCGTCAGAAAGACAGAGACAGAAAGTGAGAAACCACCCCCCGGGGGGACAGTCATGGTGCAATCCTTTCTCCTCTGTTCTCCTCTCGGGATCTTGGGCACACACACACACACGCACCCAGCATGAGTTTTTTTTTATTTTTAGAGTTTTACAGTTTTTTTAGCTATAGGGTGCATGTGTTTGCCAGAAAAACAAAGAGACAGAGAGACAGAAAGCGAGAAATCCCCAGGGGGGATGGCCACGCCACAATCCCTTCTCCTCCATTCTCCTCTCGGGATCTTGGGCACACACGCACATGCGCCCGGCGTGAGTTTAAGCCACTGGGTCCGGGACTCCAACCACAGTGGGACTACATGGGAGTCCAGCAACATAGCCATTACGCCATCTCCTGGTCCCAAAAAGGATCATTTTATTTAACTTCATTTATTTATTTAAATTTGACCAGGACAGAGTGAGAGCAAGAGAGAGAGAGAGAGAGAGAGAATGAGAAACCAAGCTGCCAGCGGGTCCAAGACTCGAACCATAGTCGGCCATGTGGGAATCTAGAGCCCTTAACCACCATGCCACCTGCCGGCCCCTCATCAAATACTCTTTTATAGGTTTTCCCTGAAGGTGTTTGGTCAGAACTTATCCATCCTAGATCAATTTTTCTCCTTGGTCTTGCCAGGATGGCCTGTCTCCCCTGGGGACTCCTATACGTCCTTAACCCTTGATTCACTAACTGGGTGAGTCCCTTACCTGGCCCTGGAGCCGGTCCTGTAAGGAACCATTTTCCATGTGGGGGTAGATCAAGCTGTGGAACTGGCTTCCGGCACAGAAGCCCTGCAGAGGCAGGATGTTGGGGTGGCAGCATCTGGAAGCAGGCATCGGTGCAAGGGTGAGGAATCACAGGGCGAATCGGCACAGACTGGCCCGCTTTCTCACCTCCCACCCCCAGACACCGCATGCTCTGACCCCTGAGGGCCCACCCAGAGGAGGAGGATGCAAACCACCCGCCTTCAAGGAAGTGGGAGTCTAGCAGCCCTCATCCTGCCCCGTAGGACACCTTTACCTCCCATCTCCACACCAGGCTCAGAGGTTACAGCAATTCCCCACGGTCACAAACCAGCAAGTGGTGAAGCCAGGACCAGTGCCAGGGCTGTCTTTCCCAGGACTGGTGTTTTTCCCAGAAATCGTCTTCCACGTAGCTCTGCGTCATGGGTCCCTCCTGACTCTGCGTCCCTCTCTGACCACTCTCTCTTGGACTTGTTCACTAAGATCCTCCTTGGCCTTCCTCTGAAATGACTGAGCTCTGCCCCCAAGCTGGGCGTGGCATGCCTTACACCCTGCTCCCTCCCAGGGACCTGCAGGTGGACTGCTGTGAGGACTCTCCCGACCTCTGGCCTCTGGCTCTTAGACCTGAGTTAAGGTCTCCAGTGCTCAGGTGAGCAGCATCCTACCCTCGGCCAGTCCCGAACCTGCTCTCTACGGATTTGAACACCCTGGTAGCAGGCATTTCCCTAGAAAAATCCCCACTTCCCACAACTAATGGTCACGAACAGCTTTCGAAGGGTCCCCTTCATCCGCAGACCCCGATCCTGTCTCCCCAGGGCCTCCGCCTGACCTCTCTGTCCTCCTCCACTCCCCTGAAGACACCTGCGTCACCATTTTCACATTCACTAGAGCTGAGGACGCAGCGGCCTCCCCACTGGACCACCAACTCCTGCGAGGCTTGCCTGCTCACACTTTCAGGATCAGCGAACGCAGGAGGGACTGCTGACTCCATGAAGGTGCTAAGCCGGAGTGGACAGGGAAGATATGAGGGGAACTTCAGGAAGTTCGTAGAAAAGGAACTGCAGTGTGGGTTTGTTGTGGTTGTGTCGCAGAAACGCTCTGTAATCCCTGTGGTTTTTCGTAGTACACATTTCCCACAAACACGTTGAAGACCCTCATACTTCCACTTCCGGTGAATGTGTGTACATAGGCATGTGTGTGCATGTGCATCTGTGTACTCACTCACATGTGTCGTCTGAGAAAGCACTGAAGAAAGCGTGTCAAAAGATGAACACGGTAGTGGTTATTTACGGGTCCTCCGGAAAACAGGTGCTTTCAATTTTCTGATTTATAATTTCCTTCCTTTATTTTTTCGAATTGCCAGAGGGCATGTGGGCTCTCCAGAGAAAGACAGAGAGAGACGGGGACTCGGGAGAAAAAGCACGGGGCGGGGGGATGTGGCCACGCTGCCATCCCCTCTCTTCCCACTTCTCCGTCCTGTCTGGATTTAGGGCACACATCCACACGCACCTGGTGTGCACGAGCTGCGGGGGCCAGGGTTCAAACTGCCGTCGGCCACGTGGGATCCAGCGCCCTTAACCACTAGGCTGTGGGGCTGGCCCTGTAGTTCTCTTTATTTCTGAAGCTACTCTCTGATAGGCATGCTTACCCAGGCTACATCTTGGCAGAGGGAAACTGGGCAGTCACCTGCCGCAGTTAAAATGATAGCTGGTGGGGGCCGGCAGGTGGCGTGGCGCTTACAGTAAAGCACTGGACTCCCACATGGCCGACCACGGTTTGAGTCCCAAACCTGATGGCTTGTTGTCTCACTTTCCCTTTCTCTCTCTCTCTCTCTCTCTCTGGTCGAATTAAATAATAATAAAAAAAATTTAATTAAAAAAAAAAAATTTAAAAAAAAAAAAATCCACAGTGGGAGAAAAAAAAAAAAGAAAAGAAAAGACTACCGTGTCTGCAGTCTGAACACGCCAGGTGCCCAGTATGTTTGTTTCAGTCCCCAGTCAGTGGTGGCAGAGTCGGGACAAAGCCCGGGCCCCCGAGGAGACCTCTTCTCTTTCCCACTCCCGACCCCACTCTGAGACTGGGAGGCTCATTTCACTTCTCTGGCCTCAGTCCCCTCATTGCTAAAATGGGTGCAGATAACTTTTTGAAGGCCCTTATTGCTCTGGACCAGCGAGCCAGCCAATTTTTTCTATAAAGGGCTTAGTAAATTTTTAGTTTTCTGTAGGCCACTCAGTCTCTGTCACAGCCACTCAACCGTCTGCCTCAGACTGCTACGATACCCAAATGAACACGCGCTGTATTCACACACAACTCTCTTATGGCTGCTGAAATCTGAGTGCCAAATAATTTCCTTGAGTAACAGAACATTCTTCTAATTTCTGTCAACCACTTAACCATGTGAAAAACTATTCATAGCTCTCAGATTATACAAACATAAGCGGAGTCACATTCGGCCCCTAGGGCCCTCGCTTGGCAACCTCTGCTCTAGAAGGCTAAGATTTTTAAGACTGAAGTAGTTTCTGCCTATCTCGAAAAATGGGATAGAAACAGATTTCTTCCCTCATGGAAGGAAGGAGCTGGAGGGAGTCAAAGTCCCTCTGTCATTTTAACCCATGCATAAAATTGCTAGAAAAACACCTTGGGGTGGGGCGGGGCCCGCACCCTGGCACAGTGGTTGGGTGCAGGCATAGAAGGCCAGATCCCACAGGGCCAACTACGGATGGAGTCCTGGCAAAAGCAGCTTCTACGTAGTTGCCCAAGATCCTGATGGGATCCAGGGATGGAGGAGGGAGGACTACAGCGTGATCTGGTCAAGAGAGAGGTGTCTGTGTCTCTCTGTCCCTGTTTCTCACACAAGTGCACAAGCTCTCTGGCAATGAAAAAAAAAACATGCTGGAGACAGACCATGTGCGTTCAAATCCTGGCTCTGACACTTACCAGCTATGTCATCTTGAACAAGACACTTAACCTCTCTGTGCCTGAATGAACCCACCTATAAAATAGCGCGATAACAGTGGTGACAGTACAGAGTTCTCACGAGGACTAAATGAGCTTACGTAGAGCAGTGTTAAAACATGCCTGGCACACGGGCAACACTATTGCTGAACGCGGCATTTTCCAAAGGGGAGGGAGGCTTACCGGAGACAAATCTGTATCTCAGCCTGAAAGAACCTTTCAGCGGATCCCGGACTAGAGCAGGCTGTCTGTGGAGGAAGACAGTGGTGCGTGAAGACGCAGCTCCACCATGTGAGCCTCCACCCCCACAAGAAACCAAGAAGCACTCACCTCTTTCAGCTTCTTGAAGACGAATGGCAGCCCCTGTCTTTGCCCCCTGTAGACATCAGCAAAGGTCCCCTCGTGGATTTTGTGGTTTTGATTGAAGTTATTGGTTGCCTGGACCACATCCGCCTCACTCCAGAAAAAGTTATCTCCCGCCAGGCTCCAAAGTTTCTCCTGCTTAGGAACCGACGTGCTGGAAACCTTGGGGTTCAGAGAGAAGAGGCAGAGATTACTGTGGAAGCTGAATTTCCCTGCCACGTTAAGGGAGCTGAGAACACCAGAGCTGACGGGGTGAGGGGCACTGTCCAACCCAGAAGGAGCAGTCAAGAGGACACAGGTAAGCTTGAGTTCGTATCCCAGCTCCATTGCTAACTTGCTCTGCCATCTGGGTGAGTTACTCAACCTCTCTGAGCCTCAACTTCCTCACTGGCAAAAAATAAAAATAACAATAGCACTCTCAGTGGGTCATTCTGAAGACCTGCTAAAACGTGAGCATTCCTGGCTCACAGCTGATGCCAGGAGGTGAGGTCACGAAGCCAGCCAATGGCAGCACTCAGGGCCCTTGTCCTACATGTAACATGTGGTACATGCTCAGCCTCCCGGCTGCTAGAAAGCAGGATATAGGCTGATACACTCAAATGCATATCTGTAACCAGAACTCCAGAAACTGTGCACACCTGAGCCTATAAAATAAGTTCTGCAGCCCAGCCAGGCGGTGCGTACCGCCAGCTGCTGGGCTTTGCAGACGGGATCCACAAGGGAGGCCTGGCTGTAATTCCTGATCCAGCCTGAAGACAGGGTGCAGCATCACACACCGGCAGGCCCAGCGGGAGCAGGAGGACAATGACACTGACACTCTATCTTAAAAAATAAGGGGGAGGGACCAGCAGTTAGCGTAATGGCTATGTCACTGGACTCCCACGTAGTCGCCCGCGGTTCGTGGCCGGGCCCCCCAGCGGCTTAAACTCACACCAGGCGCATGTGCGTGCGTGCCCAAGATCCCAAGAGGAGAAGGGAAGAGAAGGGATTGCAGCATGGCCATCCCCCCTGGGGGATGATTTCTCACTTTCTGTCTCTCTGTCTCTCTCTGTCTTTCTGGCGAGCGCATGCACCCTATAGCAAAAACCTCTCTCAAAAAAAGGGGGGGGAGGGGTGGCCCGTGGCGGGGTAGCAAAGGTGGCTGGATCCCACATAGCCCACCGTGCTTTGAGGCCCAGACCTGGTGACCTGAAAACACTTGGGGAACAGATGTGTGTGTGTCCAAAATCCCAAAAAGAGAAAGAACCAGGGAAGGGGTACAGCATGGCCATCCCATGGGGGTGCTTCCTCATTGTCCCCCCCCCAAGCTCTGTTTCTCTCTGGCAAGCACACATGACCTCAGGCAAACTTCCTAAAAAAGTGTAAATAAATCATAAAAGCAAATAAATGAAAGGGGGTGGGGGGGGGGAGGCATATGGTGGTGGTGCGGCAGGAATGGGCTCACAGGGAAAGTCCTGGGTTCGCATCCTGGGACCTCCCTGAGCACACCAGGTTGGCGAGGACTAGGGGTAGAGCAGAGTACATGTGTGCACGTGTGTGTATGTGTATCTATGTGTCTATGTGTGTCTATCTCACAGGAGAAATAAACAAACTTTTTTTTTTAAAAATTTAAGGTAGCAGCTTTTCATTTTAAAAAATGTGGGTACGTGGGCACCAGGTGGCATGGTAGTTAAGGGTGCTGGAGTGCTGGACTCCCACATGGCACCACGGTTCAAGTTCCGGACCTGGTGGTTTGCTTTTTCGGCTTTTCTCCCTCTCTCTCTTTCGCGTGCACACGCTGTCCCTCTCTGGTCAAATTAAAATAAATAAAGTTAAATAAAATAATTGTTTAAAAAAAATGTGAGTACAAAAAAAAAATTTTTTTAAGAGAGATTTTTGGGACCAGCAGGTAGTGTGGTGGGTAAGGCGCTGGACACTCCCACGTGGCTGACCATGGTTCGAGTCCCAGACCTGGTAGAATGCTTTCTCACTACTCCCCTGCGTGTATGTGTGTATTTATGTCAAATTAAAAATAAATGAATGAATAAATACAATTTAACAAGTAATTCTGTACAATAAAGAGAGAGAGAGATTTTTGCTATGGGGCACATGTGCTCACCAGAAAGACAGAAAGTGAGTAATCAGGCCCTGGGGGGGGGGAATGGCCACGCTGCAATCCCTTCTCCCCCATTCTCCTCTCAGGATCTTGGGCACGCACGCACATGCATCTGGTGTGTTAAGCTGCCGGGTTTGGACTGGAAGCAAGGTCGCCTACATCGGAAGTCCAGCGGCATTACTGCTACCCCATCTGCTGGTCCCGTGAATCTTTTTTTCAATACACAATAGAACACGTGTGTGTACACGTGAGAGTGGAAGTGAGAGAAAGAGGGGCGCCCTCCGTAGGTCTGGCCACACCACAGCCTCCTCCCTCCAGTCCTCTAGCCCAGCAGACCGTGGGCACTTGTGTGTGCACCCAGCACGTTTCAGGCTGACCAGGCTGGGAATCCGAACCATGGTTGCCAGGTGGAATCCAGCTTCTCTTATGATGTATTACTGACGCACCACAAATACAACCATATACATTTCGATTTCTTTTAGTTTTTTTTTTATTTTGCTATAGGGCACATGCGCTCACCGGACAAACAGAGACAGAGAGAGGGTAAGCGAGAAATCAGCCCCACGGGGGGTGGCCACGCTGCGCTCCCTTCTCCATTCTCCTCCTGGGTTTGGGGCACGCACATACATGCACCTGGCCTGATTTTCAAGCTGCCAGGTCGGGGACTGGAACCATGGTCGGCCATGTGGGAATCCAGCGCCTTAACCACCATGCTACCTGCTGGTCCCATAAATTTAAATTTTTTAAAGTTACACATGCTCTTACTAACAGTTTAAGAAAATTAGGGGGATAAACTGTTCATAATCCCATTATCCACTTAACTGATAATAAAGTTTAATGTACTTCCTGTCACTAGATACATTAGGATTTATTTAACAAAATTGGGAACATGCCAAACACATAGTTTTGATTTCTGGTGTTTTCACTTAACATCCTACCAGGGTCATTTTCCCAAGTTATTAAATTATCTTTGAAAATGATTAATTATTAAAACAAAAACCTTATTAAGAGAGTCTCCTTTAAGGAAGAGTTTCATTAATCAGGCCACACAGTGCTGGCTTCTCCTCCATAGGAATTTTAACTTCTTCTAAAATCAAATGAAAATAAATGAACTTTTAAAGCCAAAGAAAATGTTTTCATGGCGACTAGCAGAAGGCGTAATGGTTACGTCGACAGTGGTCGACCATGGCTGAAGTGTTTCGAGTCCCAGACCTGGTGGCTTGAAACTTATGCTAGACACATGTGAGTGTGTCCCCAAAACCCTGAGAGGAGAATGGAGGAGAAGGGAATATGGTGTGGACATTACCCCCAGGGGACATTACCCCCCAGCTTAGGGGGTGATTTCTTGCTTTCTGCCTGTCTCTGTCTTTCCGGCAAGCACACATGCCCTATAGCAAAAATCTCTCTAAAAAAAAAAAAAAAAATTGGGGGCCAGCAGGTGGCATGGTGGTTAAGGTGCTGGATACTCCCACATGGCCAACCACAGTTTGAGTCTTGGACCTGGTGGCTTACTTTCTCACTTTCCCTCTTTTCCTCTCTATGTCTCTCTCTGGTCAAATTAAAATGAATGAATAAATAAACGACTCTTTTAAAAAAAAGTTTTCATGTTTAACCCTAGCTTAGATTATTTTAATATCAATGTAGCTATAAAATACAATTGTGCGAGTTTTGTTAACAGAGGAAGAGCCTTATGAACACAAACGTGTCAGAGATTCATGAAAGCCATAATTCATTCCTAGACCTGAGTCATTCAGAATTCAGGATCACTTTTTTTTACAAGCAAAATGAGAAATAGTGATTGACTGGTTACAAAAATAACTGGAATAATAATAATAATGATCGGGGGAATAAAATGAAAAGATACTGAATGATGAAGCGGGAATTTTAATGTCTCTGTACTGACTGACATGCATGGCATTCCCTTTTGAAAAAGCAATGTAACACACTGTAAAGTTATATGTAATTCAATGTAATATAAACAAGATTATGATGATAATAAATAAATAAAAAAGATAGCCAAAAAAAATAGAATTGAAAAATAAAATTTAATTCACAACAAAATAAAAATATCTATAAAAAAAAAAAAAAAAAGAATTCAGGATCATTTGGGGCATCCATGACACAGTGGTTAAAGTGGCCGGATCCCACATGGCCAACAGCATAGTTCAATTTCCAGACCTGGTAGCTTGAGAAACATGCCAGGCGGGTGGGTGTGTGTGCCCAAAATCCCAAAAGCAGAGACAGATGGAGGAGCAGGGACTGTGGTGTGACCGCCCTTACTGGGGGGTGGTGGTGGTGCATTCTCACTTTCTGTCTCTCTGACTCTTTTAGGTAAGCACACGTGCTCTTTAGCAAATTAAAAAGAAAGAAAGAAATTCTCAGGATAATTCAGGCTGAGTTCTTCAACCTAGGTTACCCGAGTTCAAGAAGGGCGGAGGGGGGAGCGGCAGGTGGCGTGGTGGTTAAGGGTGCCATATGCCCACATGGCTGACCGCGGTTCGAGTCCCGGACCTGGTGGCTTGCTTTCTCACTTTCCCTTTCTCTCTCTCTGGTCAAATTAAAAAATAATAACAAACGGAATTAAATAAGTAAATAAATGTATTAAAAAAGAAGGGCTAGGGGTTGGGGGAGCTGTAAACGAATGACCACTGTAACCATCATAGGGAGGTGGGGAGTGCCGATGAGCGGTCGAATCGGTTAAACACACACAAAATGAAACCGCTCATGAAACAGCTGGGGATTCTGGGCCAGTGGGTGGCGCCGTGGTAACAACACCGCGGTGCTGGACCCACATGGGCAGGCCTTGGGTTCCTGTCCCAGGGCCTCCTTGTGCTTGCCTGCGGTCTCAGTGGGCTGGGACTGGGGACGGACCGTGACCTGACGATCCTGTGGGGGGTGGGTGGCTTTTCCCTCTCTCTCTCTCTTCCTCTCTCCTCCTGATGGAAGAAATACAGAAACGAAAAAACATGTCTTCACTGAAGTTCCCTCCCCCTTCCAAGTTTCCCTGACCACCTACACTTACGGCCTTAGGACCTTAGAGTAGTCCAATGGTTCTCTTGTCTCCTGCCACCCTCAAATTGGTGCACTTCTGAGAGGGAGCCATAAGCTGGGGACTGGCTTGGGGGCGGCCACAGAGAGGTAGACTTACCTTTGAATCAGGTGCAGCGGGGAGGCTGGCTTTTAAGGACCGAGGGGCATCCTCTTCAGACAGAGGCAGGAGAAGGGCCTGCGGGTGGGCTCCGGCTGGTACTGACCCTGGGAAGGAGCAGCTGAGGGTCAGTGCTGGCCTGGGGGAGAGGCAGGGAGCTCCCCGTGTAGTCCCCACACCAAGCTAGTCTCTCCTTCACTCCCCAACACTTAGGTTGCCACCCCCCAAAGCCCTGGCCGCTGCCGCCCTAATCCCAGCCTGCCTGTAGAGCCAGACCGAGCTCCCACGGGCTGCTCCCCACACCCGCTGAGCGCAGAGGGGCTATGAAGGCAGATGGTTCTGGCGACACACAGGACTCTGATCTGGCTGAGGCCAGGCCAGCTAGGACGCTCCCACCCAGCCTTCCCTTCACGTCCTTCCTCTAGGCCAGAATACACCGCGGTCAGAAGACTAACCCCGCCCCCACACCCCGCCCCCAGCCCCAGCCCCTTCACCCTGAATGACTTTCAAGCTGCTGGGGGCCAGGACTCAAACCACAGTTGGCCATGTGGGAGTCCAGAACCTTAGCCACTACGCCACCTGTCAGCCCTTCAAATAGTTTATCTGATTTAAAGAATTATTTTATTTAAGTTTATTTATTTATTTATGTTGCCATTGAACAAAAATGTGTATTATGGGGGGAAAAAAGCATGGATCAGGACCAGCAGTTAGCGTAATGGCTAAGTCGCTGGACTCCCACGTGGTCGACCGTGGTTCGAGTCCCAGACCCGGTGGCTTAAACTCACGCCGGGCGCATGTGCGTGCATGCCCAAGATCCCAAGAGGAGAATGGAGGAGAAGGGATTGCGGTGTGGCCATCCCCCCTGGGGGGGGTGATTTCTTGCTTTCTATCTCTCTGTCTGTGTCTGGTGAGCACACGCACCCTATAGCAAAAACCTCTCCAAAAAAAATTTTTTTAAAACATGGATTTAAACATTTTTGCACAAAATAAACTCATACTTTACTTCCATTTTCTTAAATGTTTGGAAGCCCCCTGATGGGGTAGACTGTAATTTTTCAGGACACACACAGAATGTACATCTGAAATCCAACGACATTTATCATGACTCTGCTGTGCGCGGCGAAAGCCTTCCTGCTAGATACTCCGAAACACACACTCAGTGGTGAGCTACAGTCAGCTCTGCGTGCTTTAGTCCTCAAGAACTCGCTCCTCTTTTCTTTTTCTTTTCTTTTTTATGAGAGGTTTTTGCTATAGTGCACGTGCGCTTGCCAGAAAGACAGAGAGAGACAGAGAGACAGAAAGCGAGAAATCACCCCCCAGGGGGGATGGCCATGCCGCAATCCCTTCTCCTCCAATCTCCTCTTGAGATCTTGGGCACGCACGCACACGCACCCGGGGTGAGTTTAAGCCACCGGGTCCGGGACTTGAACTGTGGTTGACAACATGGGAGTCCAGCGACATAGCCATTATGCCAACTGCTGGTCCCAACTCACTCGTCTTATCTAACTGCGATTTTGTGTCTGATAACCCAATTCTCCCTACCCATCCATATTTCCTCTCCTTCCCAGAATTAAAAAAACAAGGAGGCGGGAGAATGAGCCAGCATATGGCTTGGTGGTTAAAACACTGGATTCCCACAGGGCCTACTGTGATTTGAGTCCCGGATCTGGCAGTTTGCATTCTCACGTTCCCTCCCTCTTGTTCTCTCTGGTGAGTACATATTCCCCATAGCAAACTTAAAAAATAATAGTAATAATGAAGGGGACCAGCAGTTAGCATAATGGCTATGTGGCTAGACTCCCACATGGTCAACCACAGTTCAAGTCCCGGACCCGGTGGCTTGAACTCATGCTGGGCGCGTGTGCGTGCGTGCCCAAGATCCCGAGAGGAGAATGGAAGAGAAGGGATTGTAGCATGGCCATCCTCCCTGGGGGATGATTTCTCGCTTTCTGTCTCTGTCTCTGTCTGGCGAGCACACATACCCTATAGCAAAAACTTCTCTGAAAAAAAGAGAAAAAAATAGTAATAATGAAGCCAGCAGGTGGCGTGGTGGTTAAGGTGCTGGACACTCCCACATGACCACGGTTCGAGTCCTGGATCTGGTAGCTTGCTTTCTCACTTTCTCTCTCTCTCTCTCTCTTTCATTCTGTCCCTCTCTGGTCAAATTAAAATACATACATACATACATAAAGTTAAATAGAAATAATTCTTTTTTTATATATATAATTATTTATTTTATTTTTTTATCTATTCATTCATTTATTTCTTAATTTGACCAGAGAGAGACAGAGGGTGAGAGTGAGAGAGAAAGGAAGTGAGAAAACAAGCCACCAGATTCAGGACTCGAACCCTGGTTGGCCATGTGGGAGTGTCCAGTGCCTTAACCACCACGCCACCTGCTGGTCCCAATAGAAATAATTCTTTAAAAAAAAAAAAGACTCTAGTGATGAGGCCAGCAGGTGGTGTGGCGATTAAGGCACTGGACTCCCAAATGGCCCATTACAATCTGAGTCCCAGACCTAGTGGCGTGCTTCCTCACTGTCCCCCCAACCCCCTCTGGCGAGCGCATGTGCCCTATAGCAAGTCTATTATTTATTAATAATAACGATTAATAAAATTCATCTTTTTAAAAATAATTACTTATTTAATTTATTTGTTTGTTATTATTACCATGTTTGAATTTGACCAGAGAGAGATAGAGAGAAAGAGAAAGCGAGAAAGCGAGTCCCCAGGTCCGAGACGCGAACCATGGTTGGCCATGTGGGAGTCCAGTGCCTTACCTACCACGCCACCTGCTGGTTCCACTAAAATTAATCTGGAAAAGAATCTGTGTAGTGAGATGTTCTACCCTGGTCCCTGGCTCTGCTCCCACAGCTTCCTCCTCCGTGCCCCTCCCCGCGTCCTTCCCAACTACCCCCAGTGGGTCAAGCAGCAGCTCTGTCCACTCCACCCCCCGAAACTCCTTCAAGATAATCAATCGCTTTGACCTCTGGAGCCTAATGTGACCTTGGGGTTTTCCCGAGGGCAGACTGGCCGTGGGTGAGTTGATAAATGAATGATTACTTTCCTATTTCCAGTTCAGGCAGAGACGACTGGACTTCCTGTCTGTCTGCAGACCAGTTATCTGGGCACATTTGCCACCAAGGGCCCAGAAGACCAACAGTGCAAAGGCTGGCAGGGACTCTGACTGCTGCCCTTGTTTCCGGCTCCACCACGCCCCTAGAATTTCCCGTTGTTACTGTCCCCTCTGGCTATCAACCAGGACCGGCTTCTTCCAGGTCATCTCCCCTTATCTTTAACTGCCGACCAAAGGTCTGCGTCCTTCCCCTTCATCTCCGGCTGCTGGCAACAGTCCAGACTCCGAGGCCTGGAGTCCGTTTCCTAGCCTTATTCTAACCGGCAGTGTCTGGAATGCTCTGAATTCCAGACCAGTTGACACTTGGCACCATCAGGAGGCAAGGCCGAGGTGGATGGTTCTGTAATAACCCACTCACAGACTGCGGGGAGCAGAACCTCGGTCACCTTATAGATAAGTGAAGGGACAGTCCCCTGGGCCCACATTGCACAGCGGGCACACAGCAGGCGAGGTTAAAGGAAACTACGCTTCAGCCAGAGAAGGCCAGGGGAGACAAGGGGAGGCTTGTTCAGAACCACAAGATGTTCCACAGCTTCAGTCCATAATAGCAAACACCTGGCTGGGAGCTGGCAGGTGGCGTAGTGGTTAAGGACGCTGGACTCCCACATGGCCGACCTTGGTTCGAGTCCTGAACCTGGCAGCTGGCAGCTTTCTCTCTCTCTCTCTCTCGCTCTTGCTCTCTCTGTCCCTCTCTGGTCAAATTAAAATAAAGTTAAACCCAATAATTCTTAAAAAAAAAAAAAAAAAAAATATTAAAAAAAAAAAAAAAAAAAAAAACCTGGCTTTACCTTCCACTTTTCCCTCCCTCTTTGCCCTATAAAGAGTACACCCAGGAACGCCTTGGGGCTGTGGCTATCTCCATCGGAGGTCCCTGGCCCACCAGTAGCCTGCTTTTCTCTAGTGTGTGTCTGCGTATTTCTTTCCAGATCCACTGTCACACGTCTCCCTGCCATGTGGGTCACAGAACGGATGAAGAAACTGAGGTACGAACAGGCTGAGTCACTCTCCAGCTAGAAAGGGGCAGAGCTGGGCTTCAAACACGAGTCTGTCTCACGCAAAAGCCCAGAATACCTGTTCCTCCCAGCCAGGGCTGCCCTGGCTTCAAGGACTGCGTCCGCGGGCTGATCTTACTGAGAACTGGCATCTCTGGCTCCCCCCTCCGGAGGCTGCAGGAGAGCACACCCGAGGCTCACTCAGGGGGCATGGGGGTGAGCATCAGGGAGGTCAGGTGCTGGCTGAATCCTCCTGTCATGGATCACACTGTCTCTAAGCCCTGCCTGGGCACAAGGGGAAATGGTCTGCAGGCTCTAGGGTAGCACTGTGTGCAGCCCTTAGGGACGCACTCAGACCCCCGGCTCCCAGGCCTCTCCTCACTGTGTGATCTTTTTTTTTTTCTCAGAGAGGTTTTTGCTATAGGGCGCATGCGCTCGCCAGACAGAGACAGAGAGACAGAAAGCGAGAAATCACCTCCCAGGGGGTATGGCCACGCCCCAATCCCTTCTCCTCCATTCTCTTCTCGGGATCTTGGGCACGCACGCATATGCACCCGGCGTGAGTTTAAACCACTGAGTCTGGGATGCGAACCGTGGTCAACTACGTGGGAGTCCAGCGGCATAGCCATTACACTAACCGCTGGTCTCCCCACTGTGTGATCTTGAGCCAATCACGCTCCCTCTCTGTGCTTCAGCAGCGGGCCTGTGACTGACAGTGGGGAGGCAGGCGAGGGGCAAGTGGTCCCCCTTGACTCCCCGTTGCATGCCTGCCAGGGCTGGGCCCCAGAAGAGCCAGGAGCCCGTCAACGGTGGAGAGGTGGTCAGGCAGCCAGCCCAGAGCCCGCGTGCGGGAGACCTGGGAGACCACAGGTAAAACGCGGGCCCCAGCAGCACGTGACCTTGGCCGGACTGCTGACCCTCTCTGCGCTTCAGTTTTGCATCAGCAGAACGGGCACTCGCCATCCCTCACCCACACTGTCAGTGGGGATCGTCAGTGGGGATCGGAGTGAGTCCACGTCTCTGAACTCAGAGCAGGGTCGGGACACAGATGGCCCTCAAGTCCTGTGGTTCTCTCCACCTTTCTGACAAAACGGTAATAAATGGTATATGCAGGGTTTTAAAAAAAAATCCATGGGGAACCAGCAGTTAGCGTAATGGCTATGTCGCTGGACTCCCACATAGTCGACTGCGGTTCGTGTCCCGGACCCGGTGGCTTAAACTCACGCCGGGCGCGTGTGCGTGCGTGCCCAAGATCCCGAGAGGAGAATGGAGGAGAAGGGATTGCGGCGTGACCATCCCCCCTGGGGGGTGATTTCTTGCTTTCTGTCTCTATGTCTCTCTCTGTCTGTGTGGCGAGCGCACATACCCTACAGTGAAAATCTCTCCCCCCCCAAAAAAAAAAAAAATCCATGGAAACCATGTATTCAGGGGGCCAGCAGGTGACATGGTGGTTAAGGGCACTGGGCTCCCACATGACTGACTGAGGTTCAACTCCTGGACCTGGCAGATTGCTTTCTTACTTTCCCTCTCTTTCTCTCTCTCTGTTTTGCTCTCTGGTCAAATTAAAATAAATAAATAAAATAAAGTTGAATAAAAATAATTCTTTAAAAAAATTTATTAAGTTACAATAAAAAAAAAAAAAACATGTATTTGGAAAAACTACATGAATTTCAGGACCAACAGGTGGCTAACAGTTACGTTGCTGGACTCTATGACACGGTTGACCGTGGTTTAAGTCCCATACCCAGTAGCTTAAAACTCACACCAGGTACGTGTGCATGCATGCCAAAAATCCCAAGAGGAGAATGGAGGAGAAGGGATTGTAGCATGGCCATCCCCCTTGGGGGGTTGATTTCTCACTTTCTGTCTCTCTGTCTCTTAGGAGAGCATACCCACCCTATAGCAAAAAGGTTTAAAAAAAAAAACTGCATGGGTTTCAAAAATGTTTTGCACTGAAATAAACTCCCACTTTAATTCCATTTTCCCGTGAACTTTTTGAAGTCCTCCGGTATATTCTTCCAGTACCTGACTCTCTTGCATTCCTGACTGACTGTCCTGTGGGCACGTCCCGTGGGTATTTACATACCCGCACCCCTGTCCAGGGTACAGCACCGGAGCCACTGCCACTGATTCTACCGTCCCGCACTTCCAACTGCCTGTAAGCTAGATGTCCTTATAGATAAGCCTTCGTGTCATTAAGTGAGTTTAAATAAAGAAATTAAATTTAAGGGGGCAGCAGGTGGCATGGTGGTGAAGGATGCTGGACTACTACATGGTCGACCGTGGTCCAGGGCTTGCTTTCTCACTTTCTTTCTCTCGATCTAGCTCTCACTCTCATTCTGTCCCTCTATGATCAGATTAAAAATAAATAAATACAAAAAGTTAAAATTTTGTTAAAAGAAATTAAATTAAAAATACCTGGGCCTGGAGAGACAGCTGGCGTCACGGGCGGCCCCTTTTCCTGCGCGTCCTCTGTGTTTCTTACAGAAGGTCTTCCTGGCTTCACAGCATCTGGGAAGGCTGGGATGGAAGATCTGACTTCAGGAACCTGCTTCCCTAAAAACCAGGTAAAAAGGAAATTATTATCATTCCATGAACTGGGGAGCCACCAAGACCTGGGTTCTTTTTTTTTTTTTTTTTTTTAAAGGGGTTTTTTCTATGCACTTGCACTCGCCAGACAGACAGAAAGTGAGAAATCACCCCCTGGGGGGATGGCTACACTGCAATCCCTACTCCACCATTCTCCTCTCGGGACTTTTGGCACGCACGCACAAGCGCCCGGCATGAGTTTCAAGCCACTGGGCCCAGGATGTGCGAGTTCAGTGACGTAACCATGATGCCATCTCCTCACCCCAAGAACCGGTTTCTAATCAGGAGTCCGGCAAACGTTCACGGTGTGCTTGGGCAAGCCCTTTTCCAGGACAGGCCTCAGCCTCCCCATCTGGGGAGAAAGGCACAGGACCTGTGATGATCCGGCTCTGAGAGTCCGAGTCGCACACACCCGGCCTCCGACCCTACTGGCCGTGTGACCTCAGCCAGGTCACTGTCCTCCGAGCCCGTTTCCTGGATGACAAATGGAGGTGGTGACGTCCCTCCCAGCGCTGGGAGGAGGGAAGTGAGAGCACAGATGTGAAAGGGCTCTGGAGGCCCCGCACTGCCCAGCAGCGTGAGCAAGTTGAAGGCGTCCACCCCCGCCAGTGCTCGAGCCCCGTTATCAGTTCCGCTGGCCTGCAGTTTCCCTTCCCCGGCCACGCTTCCTTCCCTGTTTTACACTGGGATCCTACAAGCAGCAGCCGTGCCTGCAGACCGGAGGGAGCACCAGGCCCAGGCCCGGCTGTGCACACGTTCAAGCATTCTTCTGTGTCGCCCCTGTCAGAGACGAGGAAACAGGCCCGAGCAGGTGAAGTGACATACTCAAGATCACATGACCAGAGGCAGGCAGGGCGGCCCCCAAGAAGTCACCTGCCTTCTTCTCCACAGTAGTCACTTCCCCCTTTGCATCTATCTGGGAAACCCCAAACCTGCAGCCAGGGTGTGTCTGAGGGGCTCCCACCTAGTTCTCAGAGCTGCTCTCCAGGGCACAGCTCACTCTCCCCGCCTCCAGCGTACAGCAGGTGCCTCTTCTAAAATACAGGTCTGGCCTCACCCTTTCTTGTTTACATCCTTTTTTAAAAATTATTTTGGACCAGCAGTTAGCGTAATGGCTATGTCGCTGGACTCCCACATAGTCGACCGCGGTTCATGTCCCGGACCCAGTGGCTTAAACTCACACCGGGCGCGTGTGCGTGCGTGCCCAAGATCCCAAGAGGAGAATGGAGGAGAAGGGATTGCAGTGTGACCATCCCCCCTGGGGGGTGATTTCTCGCTTTCTGTCTCTCTGTCTGTCTGGCGAGCACACGCGCCCCATAACAAAAACCTCTCAAAAAATTATTTTATTTTTATTTTATTATTATTACTTTTTTACTTGACCAAAGAGAGAGAAGGAAAATGAGAAAGTAAGCCACCAGGTCTGGGACTTGAACCACAGTCAGCCATGTGGGAATCCAGTGCCTTAACCACCACGCCGCCTGGCTGCCCTGCTGAAATCCTTTCTGGGTCCCCACCGCCTGGACAAAGTCCTTCTCACTGCCTCCCGGATACAACCCACGTTCTAGCCCTGCGTTCAAGGCCCTTCGCTCTCCAGTGGTTTGGGGCAGACCACATTTGAGAACCACAAAAACGAGGCATGGAGGTCCCAGGGAAGGCTGCTGACTTGCTCTGTCTCATGCCGAGAATCAGGCGGGGCCATGACCAAACGTCCCCAACCACGCTTACTCTGACCAGTGAGCTGCGCCTGTAAGCAGTCGCCTGCTACCGTGGACCTGGCTGCTCAGGCCCACGCTCTGGGCTCAGGCAAGCACGGTGCCTACATCAGCATCACGCCACGCTCACCCACCGGTGCCACACCCACCGACTCCCTTTTCACAACCCCTCTATGGAACCAGCAGACAGCCTGATGGCTATGCCACTAGACTAGCACATAGTCGACCGCGGTTCGAGTCCTGGGCCTGGTGGCTTCAACTCCCGCCGGGCGCGTGTGCGTGCGTGCCCAAGGTCCCGAGAGGAGAATGGAGAAGGGATTGCGGCATGGCCAGCTCATGTGGGGTGATTTCTCACTTTCTGTCTCTCTGTCTCTCTCTGTCTGTCTGGCGAGAGCACGCGTACTATAGCAAAAACCTCTCCAAAAAAAAGAAAAAAAAAAAAAAAGGTTTTTGCCATAGGGCAGAGGTGTTCCCCTGAGAGAGGCAGAGACAGAGATAGAGACAGAGGGAAAGTGAGAAATCACCCCACATGAGCTGGCCATGCCGCAATCCCTCGTCCTCCACTCTCCTCCTGGGATCTTGGGCAGGCACGCACCCACACTTGACATGATTTTCACGGCTCCCGGTCCAGGACTCAAACCGTCAGCCAGGTGGGAGTCCAGTGACTTAACCACTACACCTACTGTCCCAAAATGCCACTTATTTCTTATTTTTTATAATATTAATTACTATAATTATTTTAGAGGGTTGTTTTTTTTTTTGCTACAGGGTGCACACTCACCAGAGAGAGAGACAGACAGAAAGCAAGAAATCACCCCCCAGGGGGGATTGGCGACGCTGCAATCCCTTCTCCATTCTCCTCTCAGGATTTTGGACACACACGCACACGAACTTGGAGTGAGTTTCAAGCCACCAGGTCCAGGATTTGAACCACAGTCGGCCATGTGGGAGTCCAACAACATAACCATTACTCCATCTTCTGGTCCCAAGAATTATTTTATTTATTTATTTATTTGTTTGTTTGCTGTAGGACATGTGCACTCACCAGAGAGCAAGCGAGCAAGAAAGCAAGATGCCAGGTTTGGGACTAGAACCGTGGTCAGCCACGTAGAAGTCCAGGACCCTGACCATCTACTGGCCCCAATACCGGCTTATCTCTTAAGCAGCCTGCATCTCGAGTAAAAGGAGAACAGGATGGGAGCGTGCCTGGGCCGTGCTGGCCCAGGTGAGGGTGCAGGCAGCGCGCCCTCTGCAGGGCACAGAGCGCACTGCCTTGTTCTTACCAACGGGCTGGGAGGGTGAGGGGGTACTTTTCACTCCAGCTCTTCTGCACAACCTGGAAGTCCCTTTTTTTTTCTTAAAGTTAATTGATTTATGGAACCAGCAGTTGACGTAATGGCTATGTCGCTGGACTCCCATGTAGTCCACCGTGGTTCTAGTCCTGGACCCGGTGGCTCAAACGCACGCCGAGCACCTGTGCGTGCGTGCCCAAGAGAGGAGAATGGAGGAGAAGGAATTGTGGTGTGGCCATTTGCCCTGGGGGGGTGATTTCTCGCTTTCTGTCTCTCTGTTTCTGTCTCTCTGGCAAGCGCACGCACCCTATAGCAAAAATCTCTCCATTTAAAAAAATAATAAGAAAATAAAGTTTAGATTTATTTCTTCCATGAGAAAGAGAAACAGAGAGAAAGAGTACTTACTCCCAACAGTCTTTTTTTTTTTTTATCATCATTATTTTTATTTTTTAAAATTTGATCAGAGAAAGAGGAAGCGAGAAAGCAAGCTGCCAGGTCCAGGACTTGAGCCACAGTCAGCCATGTGGGAGTCCAGCGCCTCAAACACCATGCCACTGCCGCCCCCCCAGAGTCTTAATGGCACTATCTACCCACAGCCTCAGCCAGCCCCAGATGGTGGGCACACGCACACCTGGCGTCTTCAGGGAGGTCACCGGCCGTGAACCCAGGACCTGTCCTGTGTGAGTCCGATTGCATCACCACTGCACTGCCACCTGGCCCCATACCTGGAGGTCACAGGTAAGGAAACAGGCTCAGGGACCAGAGAGACCTGCCCAAGAGAGACAGTGTGCACAGGGGCACTGAGGCAGGAAGAAGGGCGCCCTCCCGGAACCAGGTGAGGAGGCCAGGGCTGTGGGCGAGCCACGCTGGGGCCCGGGAGGACACAGGCTCATCCCTCCCCACCTGGGGTCCTCGGGCACTTCAGGAGGGCGTGCCACGGACCACCCTGCCCACATCCAACACACATCAGAGGCCTTTCTAGAAGCCAGGGCCTCCCAGGCAGCGTGCTGGCAGGACCACGCTCACCTGTGCCTTAGGGAATGCCACCGCCTGCCACGGGCCCAGGAGCCACACACGGCCCCTTGTACACAATGACGACAATAAGCCAGGCCAGGTGAGCGCTGGTCCAAGAGCAGATCTGGACTGGAGCTGCCTGATTCCAGAAGGGAAGATAAGCCCACGCCCCGGGAGGAAGGGCCCCGTGATGCAGCCTCCCCTGCCACCTCCACTCCACAAAGGGGGCCTGCAGGGACACCGTCACGACATCCCCGTGTGACGCCAAAGGCAGAGGTGGCCCTGGCAGAGGGCCGGCAGGCTCACGGTGACGTGACCCGCAGAGGCCAGGCCCGCGGCAGTGAGGCGCTCCTGACTGGAACAGCTCCCACGGCCCCACAGCGTGGGCACCCACGGCCAGGAAGGTCAGGCAGCTGCCCGGGCAGGCCCGGCCGGCAGCAGCGCAATGGGGCTGGACAGGCTGGTCCCACCTCACTTGACTCCCGTGCCCCGCTGCCCAGCACAGATGCCTGCCTCTCACCCGGGACACATCTGCCAGGGACGTCACGGCCACCAGCCCACTTGGGGCCGACCTCTGTGGGAGGGAAGTGCCGCCACGGGGAACAGAAAAGGCTTTGACAGTTCCCGTGCTAAGGACGGTCCGGCTTGTCCTCGTTCTCTGCAGTGGCTCGTGGAGGCCTGCACCTGGCACAGTGGGAAGAGAGGATAGGGCACGCACAGGGCAGGGGCAGCACCGGCAGGGCGACGGCCAGCGACCCAACCCGAGGACAATCGGGGCTGACACTGCCTTCCCACCAAGTCACCTCGTCACACTGGGAGGGCCACACCCAACCGACGCAGGCCCGAGTTTTGGTTTCCTGTGAGACACCCTGTGGGTTTCCAGATGCTTCGCTTCTTTTCTTTTCTTTTCTTTTCTTTTCTTCCTTTGGAGAAGTTTGTGCTATAGGGC